AAGAAGCTTTTTAAAAGATAATTCTTCAAAGATTTAGAGGGAATTGCAATTTATCTTGATCATGCAGAGTTTATTGATTCAGATCATCTTCCTTTTACCTTCCAACTTTCAAGAAGAAAATGAAATAAACTCTCTTTACAAATCGGCAACTCCTGATGCCATCCTATTTCTCAATTTAACTTGTCTTCTCTGAGGGGAATCGACTCAGTTTTCCTAGGTACGCTCATGTCAGGGTGTATTTAAAGCATGGGGGGGGATTTGGTGAATTGCTTATCCATTTCTAAATAGGACATTTAATAGGTTTTATCTGTTATGAAAACCCACTGGAGGAATTCTTCAGGAAAGCATCTAACAGCTTCCAGATAGTATATAATAATGAAGAGCTCCTTCTCTTCCTCTAAATTTTCAGTGTATTGTCTTTTTCAGAGTCTTAATCATGACTTTAACACTATTCTTAAATAATAGAAACTAAGAACCTTGGAAGGTGGCTTTACACCTTTCTTCTTCAAACCCTATGTTACTCACTCAACCATAGTTGACACAATGTGAGAACATTTCCCCCACTCCTCAGGAGTCCAATGGCAGGGCGTCCTCCTCAATGAAGCATAATTTTACAGCAAATTAGCCAAAGTCCAGGCATCATTCCCTGATGAATACAACAGGCACTGTGGAAATTGGAGCAGCAACTAACTTTAACCATGTCACTGCCAATCAAGTTTTGCAATGGGCTAAACAGACTCCATTGCTATGGGAATCTTTTGTTCCATACAAGTTAAAGTTTTTCAGAAGGTGGTGTAGTGATTAAGGCACTAGACTCCTAATTGATCAAAGTTCAAGTTCCAGACTTGGTGACTTGAAACTCAAACTGGACACATGTGCAAGCATGCCCAAAATCCCAAAAAGAGAATGGAGGAGAAGGGATTGCGGTATGGACATCCTCCCTGGGGGATGATTTTTCACTTTCTATCTCTCTGACTGTCTCTTTCTCAATGTGCCCTACAGCAAAAGTCTCTAAAATAAATAAATAAATAACAACAACAACAACTTTGGCCTTTTTGAGAGTATAAACTTCAATATAAATATCTGAGTTGAAAATGATCTGCACCACTTGAAATAAAGAAATCTGAATAATTAAGCCTCTTCTTTAATGTCTTTAAAATGCACTGATACTACCATTCAGAGTAGTATATATAGACTGAGATCCAACATGGTCCACCACGGTTTGAGTCCTGGCACTAGCGGCTTGAAAAAACCTAACAGGTACATATGTTTGTGTTAGGCCCAAATACTGAAAGTCTGGAGAAATGGAGAAGGAGGAACTGTGGTGTGGCCATATCCCACTGGGGCATGCCTTCTCCTTCTCCCTCTTTCAGGTAAGCTCACATGCCCATTGGAAACTAGAAAAATTAAAAAGGTCAAATTGCAAATTGTCAATGCATATTTTACTAGAAATTAAAAAAAATGTAATATACTAAAGACCACTGTATACTTTAAATTTCTTTGCTTTAACCACCACATATAAGTTAGAAAACTCAGAAGAAGAATAAAAGCCCAGTGTGCATGTCCTTGAAAAAAAAGTGATTGATATTATTTATTCAAACAGTTGAGACTAATATAAAGGATTTTATGCCCATCTCTTAGAAAATACATTAAAAACATATAAGTATAGAAACTTTAAATGTATAATATAATAAATAACTACTGTATTTGATGAGAAATTAAAGATATTCAAATTTTAACTCTCAAATCATTTTCTGTTGAAGATACATTTACTTTTATCAACTGGACTAGGGAGAAATGTTCACATATTGAAATGATCACCTTGTAAGCTAAAAAATGTGATTGAATGTATAAAAGAAAATAAAATAAAGAAATGAAAAAAGAATAATCTTACTTCATAGTCTAGGATTTATTTATTGGCTAATAGTTTCTTCTTTTCAAAATTCTATAAGGATCTAATTTTCTAAGCTTATTAAAAATAGGCTAATCAATAATAATTTAGTGAATGACTTTTTTCTGCTTCAACTTTCTTCACATAAAATGAATGAAAATGTTTTATTTGACCACACATTGAAAGAGAAACAAATTTATAATCTATTGATATATGATCAATTTTGCCTGTTTTACCTTGGCCTAGTTATTTTATTTAAAAGATGGATATATTACCATGTGAAAAAATTTTCATTTAAGTGTATGTATTTTTAAATTAACCAATAAGTTTTTCTATTTAACAAAAGATAGCAAGTTCCAGCAAAGCTTTCACCCAGTGCGCCATTCAGTCTTGATCAGGTGGAATGATGGGCACACATGTGTGCAAACCTGCTGTGCTCATAAAGTCCCAGGATGCAAATCGACAGCTCTCTCCCTGTGGGACCAATTGTGTCACTGCTGTGTCACCTTCCAGGCCCCAAAATACTTTTCAGTATAGACTGAAGTCTTTAATCACTGGTGAATGATGGAACAAATTGGATAAAAGTAGTTCTCAATGAAAAAAAATTATAATTAAAAAATGGAAGCATAAATGCTACTCAAAATTTTAATTTCTAAAAACTTAATATAAGATTTTTTTTGAGAGGTGTTTGCTATAGGGCGCATGCGCTCTCCAGAAAGACAGAGACAGAGAGACAGAAAGCGAGAAATCACCCCCATGAGGGGGTGGCCATGCTGCAATCCCTTCTCCTTCAGTCTCCTCTTAGGATTTTGAGCTCACATGCACTGACGCATGAGTTTCAAGTCACTGGATCCAGGACTTGAACTAAGATCAGCCATGTGGGAGTTCAGTGACATAAACACTATGTCATCTACTTCCCAAGAAAAGGTATTTTTAACGCAGATTTTTAAATAAAAGTATTTTAGAACTGTGTGAGATAAGACATGGAGAGTTATAGGGTTGACAAAAGCATTGCTTGCAGACTTGTAGGACAAATGAATGATCAGATGACAGAAACTACAGATTGTTCATGAATACTTAATTTTTATGTTTCTTAACTACAAAACCTACATCAGGATCTATGAAGAAATTAGATAAGATCAAAGAGGGCTATATTTTCCATGTTTAAATATTTTATCTTTCTAGTCTCCACCTAAAATTTATCACTTGAATGAAGTGTCTCATAAAATCCTATCAACCAAATGGACCCTCCCTCCTTCCTGTGTTCTTACCATAATTTTTTCTGTCTTCCTTCAAAGCACTTATGACCCACTGGAGAATTATGTGTTTACAAGGCCATTTCTACTAATGATTTAAACTTTTCAAACCAAGGAAACAATAATCTGTTTTGTTTTCTTTATACTTTGAATAGGAGGTAGTCCAGTTTAATTGAATAAAATGTTTTTAATAAATGACTATTTAGGAGATAAATCAAATATTGTCAGTATATTTCTTGTTTTCTTTCACAACATTGTAAAAGATTTTCCAATATAATCTGCTCAAAGCATTATCACTTAATTGAAAGACTTACTTGACCTACTAGTGGTTATATTTTTAATAGAGGAATTTTATTGAAAAGTTTGCTGATAATTTAGTCCAGAAAGAAAGAGACCATGATGGAATAAATAAATTTCTCTGCTTCTGAATTGTTCACAAAGGTCTAGTCAATTCTCATAAAATGATCTATCTACTTGATTTACTTTCTAATCCTCTCTAAAAACAAAATAAAACAAAACAAAACAAAACAAAAAAATCTTAGGGAAAATTGAGTTTTACCTGGAGTCTATCATTCATAAATTATAGTATCTCTTGGTAGTTTATGAGGGCACAGAATTTTTCATATTATCTATTAAGAAGTGAAGAGCAGTGATTTCACTTCATTAAGAAAACTAGAGGGGGCCAGCAGATGACATATAGTTACATTGCTGGACTCCCACGTGGCTGACTGCAGATCGAGTCCTGGATCTCGAGTCTTGAAAATCACTCTGAGCATGTGTATGTGTGTACTCAAGATTCTGGGAGGAGAATGGAGGAGAAGGAATTGTAAGGTGGCCATCCCACCTAGGGGGTGAGTTCTCACTTTCCCTTTCAATATCTCTGTCTTTCTCTCCAATGAGCACACACGCCCTAAAACAAAAACCTTTAAAAAAAATTTAAAAAGGAAAAAAAAGAAAAAAAGAGAAAGAGAGAAAGAATACTAGAGAATATTGGAGACTCTGGACTCTTTTTATGTTATAGAACTGAAAGAAATGCCAGGCACAGCCATGCTGGCATAGGTGGTAACAATCACTGTACAACGCTGGAACCTTATGGGAAGGCCGAGAGTTCAGTCAGCCTGAACATGCTAGGTACACCCCTGCATTCGCCTGTTATCCTGACTGGTTGGAAGATTGGAAGTGGGGCAGTGGGAGACTATGATATGGCTCCCACTGTCAAGGCCCCTTCTCTCTCGCTCTCTCTTCTTCTCTCTCTCATGAAATTAATTAATTAATTAATTGTTTAATTATTTAAAAAGCCACATAATATTTCTATTGTGAGATACTATATTCAAATAATTAAGATATTTATTTTCTAAAATGTCTTTATAATTTTTGAAGCATTTTTATTCTATATTTTTCACTGTAATTCACATCTACAGTTATCAAATCAGAAGAAAAACATATTTTGATTACACATATTTATCCCATTTTGGAAAGTACAGACAAGTTAATTTTGTAGAATTCTAGGTTTCTGGTGAAACAGAATTTAGATATTATTGAATGTTACTCTTATATTCAGCTTGCTTTTACATATAAACAATATTCTCTTAAGAGACAAGAGTTTCTTCTATAGTAACTTGAGCCTTTTAAGGTTGACTTTCATAGAATGAGAAACATGGGTTTTTCCTTTGAAAAATGATGGTTCTGGTAGCTGGCAAAACATCACACTATTCTTCAATCTGTGCTTCTGTATGATTAGTTGACTGGTACACCAGATAGAAACCATATTCTCCTCCCACTTTTACCTGTGTTCATTTAGCAGGCCTTTCTCTAAGGTTGAGGTACTCCCACTCATATTGTATCCCTGTTACTCAGAGCTTCTGCGGGTGGAACATCTTTAGAATACGTACTCGAATTTCTTTAGTTTTGACACTGTAGACAATTGGGTTGAGCATTGGAGGGATAAGAAAGTGTAGGTAAGAGAGAAGCATATATACCTGAGCAGGTAGCTTCTTTTTTCCAAAACGATGGATCATGGACAAGCTAACTAGAGGGGTATAAAATAGTAACACAGCACAGATGTGGGAAATGCAGGTGTTGAAAGCTTTGAGCCGCTCAGCATTGGAAGCAATGCTCAATACTGTCTTCAAGATCAGCACGTAGGAGAAGAGAATGAGCACAGCATCCATCGCCAGTGTGGAAAGCATGACAAAGAGCCCAAGGCCACTGTTCAGAAGAGTGCTAGAACTGGCCAGCCTCAGAACATCAGGATGAACACAATACGAGTGAGACAGAGCATTTGTGGGCTGAAATTTCAGTCTTCCAAGGAGCACAGGCAGGGGCAGATGGAGGGCAGCACTCCGGGTCACAATGGCCAGCCCGATGGCCCTGATGCGCTTGGTTGTGAGAATGGTGGCATAGCGCAAAGGCTCTCGAATGGCCACACAGCGATCAAAAGCCATAGCTAACAGAACTGCTGATTCGATGACTGAGAAAGTGTGAATGAAGAAGAGTTGCATAAAGCAGGCGATAGGTGCTATCTTCCTCTGGCCCAGGAGAAAGACAGAAATCATTGAAGGCAGCGTAGAAGCAGAGAGGCCCAAGTCAGCCAAGGAAAGCATGGAGAGGAAGAGATACATGGGTGTGTGGAGGCTGGGTACAGACTTGACAATGTACATGATGGTGATGTTGCCCAGCACAGAAAGAACGTAGACAGAGCAGACAGGAATAGCTGTCCAGCAATGGGAAGTCTCTAGTCCCGGCAGATCCATTAATACAAAGAAGAAGCTGCTGACATTGTTGTTGTCATGAATTGCCATGACTCTGGAAAAGAACTGCAAGGAAAGTAGAAACAATTTATTTTTTACCACATTTTTCTATTGTTTTCTTCCTCACAGCACCCATTGCTCCTGCCTGCACAGTATATAGCTTTTTTTCTTCTCTCCACACTAAATTCTAATCCATTAGGGTTTTTTTTTTTTTTTTCTATAAAACATTACTGGCTGTCTTAGGGGTTTGCTCCGGTTACCAACAGCATACTCAAGCTATTCAAATAAAGAAAATCTCTTCCTCATCATGGAGATATTTCAAAGTCAAAAAACTATGAATTGCAGCCCCCTGTTAGGAATATGTGACCCACGTGCTTAAGATACATTTAAAAGGAGAATTGGGTTTCATGACTGCTGCTTGGAAGTTAAAGTGTAAAGAATAAATAATTAGTCTCGAGTCTAAACTCCTGATATTATCAGATATATAATTTGTTATGAAGGGGGCCAGAAAAAAGTTGTGGCAGGCAGACATCAGGAGAGTTTGGGGCTTTTCATGAATGTTTCCTTGATTTAACTTCCTTCTCAATTTTTAAATAAGACACTTTAAAAATACTGGGATGGCTGATACAGATATGTGAAAAGAGGAAGATAAAGACTAAACAGTATGTGTAATTGGAAATGAAAAGTGTTTTCAGTGGCATCACACTGAACTTCTGCTATGTACTTAATGTTAGTGATATAAAGGCAGACAGAAAAGAGGATCTGACTTTGAAGATCTAATAACTCCCTGGTCAATGAAAAAATATACATATACTAGATAAAAGAATATTAACCACAGGGCAGGTAAAAGATTTCAACCATGAATCTAAATCCTGCTCTCCACAACTCGCCTTTTTCAATAATTACCATGGAAGCCGAGTGGTGGTACAGGGACCACATGGAAAAGGTCCTGGGTTCACATCCTTATACCTGCCTCCCTGCGTATACCTTGTACATGATCTGGGCTGGCTAAGTCTGGGGATGGATCATGACGTGACGACCTTGTGTGGGATGCTTGTGCCCCCCCTCAAAGCCCCCTGTCATGACTCCTTTTCTCATGGAAAGGAACAAATAAAGAAAACTTAAGAAAAAAATGAAAGCTCTTGGTTCCCATCAGACACTTATTAAAGAAAGAAATAATATGTGAAATTTGAGTAAATAGAGATAAAAAGATACCTTGATCACATATCTAAATTCCATACTGAGGGTGATTTTCCTTCTTAACATCTGAAAAAAATTCCCTTAACAATGGAGACTTCAGCACCTTCCTATAAAATCCATTATAAACAATATAATGTTCTTAATTTATTTTAATTTTTTATGAATTTTTAAAAATTTTTGCCAGAGGGCACATGTACTAACCAGAGAGAGAGAAAGAAAGAAGGGAAGTGGGAAAGTCCTACCCATTGGGCATGGTCATGCTACAAATCCTTATCATTCAACTCTTCTTTCAGGATTTTGGGCATGCATGCACACATGCACAGTGTGTTTTTCAAGGTACAAGATCTACAACTTGAACCACACAGCCAGCTATGTAGAATCCAGCTGCCTTAACCACTATTTTATGGGTTGGCCCACCACCAACCTATTTTAATGCTGTTCTACAAAATCATGAAGAGCAGCTATGATCACCATTCCACATGCTGCTCTAAGGAAAATCAAATAGAAATTCTGTGGTGTGAGTAAAGGTAACAAATTGGACAAAGTATGTCAATTGAACAGTAAACAACTGTTGAGAATAATAACAGGGCATGGTGGAGGGAAAATCCTAGTCCCTCATAAAGAAAACAAGAAGCAGAGACCTACCAGATTTGAGAAACTAGCGGTAAAATAGGAGAACTGAATTTTTGACATGACATGTGTATACCTTTAGAGAAGGTGAGGGTGGGTGGCAGGCTATCACAAGTTATCTATGAAGCTCTGAGAGAAAGACTTTTTTTTGGAATGTTTGTTAGAGGGAGAGAAAGGTAACACATATTTTGTATTCATGAACCTGCCTCTGATTTGACTGACCAGAGTGTGTTCTCTAAAGCATGGAAAAGCACTTGCCCTACCCCTTGAAAACATGTTGGTTGATAAACTAAAAGTCTCATAAATGTAGAAAAGTTGACACTGCATTTAATAACAAAAAGAAGTATCTGTGATTTGGCATTCTTGGGAGAATTTTATGACTTAAATTGCATATCCATTTCTGAAGCCCAACAGAGGAAAGAAAGAAGGCAATCTGATATTTAGGAGGCCAAGTTGGAGAGACAAGCCTAAAGATATGTGAGGAGCTGGTGAACAATTTACAAATGAGAAAAGCCTGAGGCTCGATTTGAGTCTCTGTTTTGAGTCTACGTACTAAAGGATGTCAGAAAAGAGAACCTGCTACTCTTAGGCGTGTAAGTTTAGACACCATGTATAGGTTCACCTGCATGTATGGGTTTGTCCAGAGATAAGTCTTGAGCTGCATAAGGTTCTTGTTGCATCAGAAAAGTAAATTTATGGGGTCAGCAGGTGACATGGTGGTTAAGGCACTGGACTCCCACATGGCCAATTGCAGTTTGAGTCCCAGACCAGCAGCTTGTTTCCTCATTTTCTTTGTCTCTGTCTCTCTTTGGTGAGCACAGATGCCATATAACAAGTTATTAAAAAATAGTAACAATAAATGAAATTAAATAAATACTATTTTTTAAAAAAGAAATGTAAGTTTACATGTGCCCAGTGGGAAGAGTACCCCGGAAATAGTACACTGGGTGGTCAGAAGCAGGGAGACTAGACATACAGGGAATATAGCCTCAGGCAGGAAAGCAAAAGAAAACTGAGTGCCACTGCATTTTATGAAATACATGTGGAATGCTGACCATAGCTGGCCTTCAACATTAGTCAAGGATTACTACTTGTCATGCACACTCTTGGGTCCTCTAAGGAGGTACTATTTATATAAAGCTAAATTGCAATAGAACATAGTCATTGGAATAACGAGGTTTTCGCTGATAGTTGTGAAAATCAGTTATGAAGAGCAAGAGCTGTACTTGGAGCACCTAGTCATGGCGCTCAGTGTTTAAGGACTCAAAACACATAGTTAAGTAGAGGTTGGAGGCATGCATTTACCATTTCTCTGAGTACTTTTCACTTCTGGGTATAAGTAGAATGGGTAAATACACCTCCTGCATAAATTTTGGCAAGATGTTTTTACCACAATGTGAGCATTAAAAATTCTGTCTTATTTGCTTATTTTCTCCAGAAAAAAAAATTACAATGAAACTACTGATATTTTCAGGTTCATTAGTTCAATTCCTACTACACTGATTCTGTAGCATGTCCCCTCTCAAAAAAACAAAACAAAACAAAAACAAAAACTAAGAAACAAAAACCCTAAAACTATGTATCTCAGAAAATAATTCATTCAGTCATGATATTTAAGCTATGAAGGGAATCCCCTCCCTGCCAATATCTGCAATGCATGTTGAAAAATGCATTCTATGTCCTCACTTAAGAACTGAATGAGATGAGCTGGTGGCATGGTGGTTAAGGTGGCTGGATCCCATATGACTGACAGTGCAGTTTGAGTTCTGAACCTGGTAGCTTAAGAAACACTTCAGGCACATGTGTGTATATACCTTAAAATCCCAAGAGGATGGAAGAATGGAGAAGCAATTGCAGTGCAACCATCCACATGAGGAGTGTGCTGGGTCACTTTCCTTCTCTCTTTCTTTGTTTCACTGTGGTAAGTGCATGACTCCTCTAATAACAAAATAAGCCATGGTGGTTCAATCAGGAGGGCACTACTGTCTGGTGACTGACACTGCGTGGAAGACCTGGATTTAGTTCCTGGCCAGGTGTGTTAGTGCTTGGGCATAGCTGACTATGAGATTGTGGCAAGAGGGGAACCAGCAGTTAGCGTAATGGCTATGTCGCTGGACTCCCACATAGTTGACCGCGGTTCACGTCCCGGACCCGGTGGCTTAAAACTCATGCCGGGCGCGTGTACGTGCGTGCCCAAGATCCCAAGAGGAGAACAGAGGAGAGGGGATTGCGGCGTGACCATCCCCCCTGGGGGGTGATTTCTCGCTTTCTGTCTCTATGTCTCTCTCTCTCTGGCGAGCGCATGTGCCCTATAGCGAAAAACCTCTCCCCACCCCCAAAAAAAAGAGATTGTGGCAAGAGGAAGCGAAAAACCTCTCCCCCACCAAAAAAAAAAGAGATTGTGGCAAAAGAATTTGTTCTTGGTGAGACCTTCTCAAAAATACTTCTCTCTCTCTTTTATTCCTCCCACTCTTATTTCTCTCCTTCTCTTTAAAAAAATGTCTAGATTTTTAATTCTGTTAAATCATTACAACCTGCCTTCATGTCTGGTAAAATGAGCCAACTGAATACGTCATTTAAGTCTATAGTCTTAAAATGATGTATGTTTGAAGCATTTTTGTTTAATCTTTAGTCATTTAATGTGTAGTAACAAACTGCAATATAATTTTGAGGTTGATTTCCACATGGAGAAAGGATACACATTATAAGATGCATTGATGTTTTCACACATGAGTACTAAAATGACAGTAGTTAACAAAGAACAGGAGACAAGAACTCTCTTTAGATAAAGGCTGGAGTTGGCGAGGTTTGCTGAGGATTACTTACCCCTGGTAATGATCCCCCAGATTGCTTTCTTTCTCCCCATCCATCATAACCTCTCATGGCATTTTTGTCAAGAGTGCCTGGTATTTGAAGATTTTGTAACTTGTATGAATTCTAGGTTTTATTTTTTTTTCAAATTGTCCAACTTTCTGACACTTAAATTGATACATTGTCATAACCTACACAACTTATTTGCTGCACAGAGCTTTGAACTCACTAAGGTGACTTTGAAGCGCCAAAGCTATAGAAGTGGTGTGCTGGGTTTCTTGTGCTGCCTGGGAAAAGATTCCATAAATCAAATTGTGTAAGTTTTTCAGAGGGTATATGAAGAACTGACTAGTTTTTTAAAATGAATCTTCTAGCTTAACATAAATATTTCAGTACCTTAAACCATTGCTTTCAAGACAAAGTCTCCACATTAACTCATCTAGGAAGCCTCGTTGGTAGCTATTACAAAGTTTTGTAGAAATTAAAAATTATATTTCTAGTTTTCCATTCCTCCCCATTCTTCCTTTCCTCTCTTTCTGCTTCTCTTCTTTCTATATTTTCTTATTTCGTCCCTTTGCTTTCTTTCCTATGTCGGTTATTTCGGTTTTGGGCGAGCATCATACATAAATGTACTTCAATTTATGTTTTACCTTAAAGTCCAGGGACAAGAATTAAATGATCACTGGGTGAGGAAAGAGGGATTAAACATTGTTTCTTGAAACTGTAGAATTAGAGGTGTTATGTACTTCCAACAAGTGTACTTTCTAATCTAAGAGAATCTCATACAGTTTGAAGCCATATCTTGGCTAACCCATAAATTACCTTGATATCCATCTCAGGCACACATATAACATACTTGGACCTAACCTAGTAGAAAGTGTTTCCATCACTCACCAGCCCCCAAAACAAGGACACAATCTCTGTAGATGGTGGTGCAGCTGGAGCCTCATAAGGCTCCCTGCCTTGAGTATAATTGCTGTGTGAGTTTCTTTATAAATCTTTGGTTCTGGCTCTCCCTGGAGACTCAAATCCAATCCCTGGGTTTAGACTATCAACACAGCATTAAATGAGCATGTGCCAGACAGAACTGCCCGTTACTACTCATTTTGGATCTTTGCCACCTCTGCAGAGTAATGCACAGTGTAAGATTAGACCATGCAACCAGTTGTACTTCAGGAGTTATTTCATCATTCTCAGCCTAAAACCGTTTTAGTTCCTTGGAAGTAGAAGTCATCTAATAGATTCTGTTCTGCTCTAGGAAATTCTTGTTTCATACTCAGAATTCCAACACATATAATTCTTTATACCCTCTGGACAAAACCATTTCCCCTTTCGAAGCCAGTAGATTTTTTTTCCCCTTAAATTTTAAATATATTAGTGATTAGAATGAAATATCTACAACATTAGTTCTATAAGTGATAATATTAATAAATATCCTCTAAGATAAATTTATTTTTCACAAATTGACCTTCATTACAATAGCAGGAAGGTACATTTTCACTGGTATTTTCCCTTACCTTCCACTCCACTCTCTTCAAAGCGGTATCTTCCTAGTTTTGAGGAAACTAGGAAGGGTACAAGAGATTAAAAAGGATTCACCAAAACATGCAAAATGGGCCTCAATTTTGTTTTGAAGCTGAGGAAAGAGTAAAGAGTGATGTAAGATGCAGATTTTGTTTGCGGTAGATATGGATCTAGACAGAAATGTCTGGGGGAATTGAGGCAGGGACCAATTTACGAATGAGTGACAGAGGTCATTTTACATGAACCATGGCCACCAGCAATTACCTAGAAGGACTCACATGGCTCAATATAAAGCTGTACTCATGTATTGCAATGGACACACTGTAGGATCAGGAGGGAAAAGGCACACATACAGAGCCAAAAGTACTCAGGTGCAGCCTTCCGAGAATTTTCTCTTTTCAAGGGTCATTTCAACCATGACCTCAGAGACCCATGAGAGATGCCTCTTTTCAGGAGAACATGTTTGGGGTTTGGATACCAGGATTTTTATAAGCAATTGTTTATTTTATTAAATGGAGATGGAAGGAAGAAAGCAAGCCACAAGATCTGGGACATGAGGCACAGTTGTCCATGTGGGAGTCCAGCACCTTGACCGCCTGGTCCTGCAGACCAGGGTTTTTAAACAGCTAGACACATAGGCACATATCTGTCATATAACTAGCATGTGTAAACTTTATGCCAGTAAACAGATGAACACAATAAATTTCATCTTCATTTTATACATACTACCATTCTGATTCATTCTGAGATGTTGCTCTGAGTGTACATAATAACAAAAGTACTCAATAACTGTACCTCCAAAATGTATTCTCAGTTTTCTGAACTGCATCAGCATAGCTGCAAAGGTAAGTGACCTATGCTGCACTCACTCTTTTATTGTAGGCCTCTCCTGTCATTTTAGGAGTATGATGTGCTCCACTGGATGTGTTAGCAATGTTCGTAATCAGTATTATGAAATATGGTTAATTTAATTTTATTATTATGTATACACTGAATCAATATACATCATTTAGTTTGTGAAGGGAATTTACCCAGCATGAAACACACCTCAGACCAGTCCAGTTGAGAAAATAATACACATCATCATCAACATTTTTTATTTATTCTTTTTAATTGCCAGAAAGCATATGTGCTCACCTGAGAGAGACAGAGAAAGGGAGAAAGAGGAAGAAAAAGCAATTTCCAGTGGAATGGGGTCATGCTACAACTCCTGCTCTATTTCTCCATCCTGTTAGGGTCTGAGGTATACACATGAGCTGATGTGTTTCTCAAGCCACTGGGACTGACATTCAAACCATAAGATTGTGGTCATCTGTGTGAGATTCAGCTTCCTTAACCACTAGGTATAGGACTAGTCCCAAAATAAAGCTAGTTTCTAATGTGGATTAGTCTCTAATAGGACCTAAGAATAAATCTGATCTCAGGTGACAGAGACTATGATTATATAAATATACATATATTAAATATAAATCAAAAATGAGAAAAACAAACTACAAACAGAGATTCGTTTGATTACATTGAGAAGTGGATTTGAGTTCTATGAATCAGTGAAATACATTTGCCCTTATTATAACTGGTTTTACTTAAAAAAGCCTTGACTCTAGTGGGGCAAGATGCTATAAATTAACAGAACCAAGTGGAAAAGTGTAAGAGTGTTTATTTTCTGCATATTTTAGGTGCTTGAACTATACTTAATAGAAGTAACAATATATAAACAAAAGCAAAAGAGAGAATGGGTTTGGGGGCAAGATTTAAAAAGTCCTATAGTATATTTTTAAAAGAATTATTTTGTTTAATTTTATTCATCAGTATTATTTTCTAAATTTGACCAGAAAGAGACAGAGACAGAGACAGAGACAGAAAGAGAAGGATAATGAGAAAGCAAGCCTCCAGGTTTAGTTCTCAAACTGTGGTTAGCCATGTGGGAGAGCAGTGCGGTAACCACCATTCCACCTGCTGGCCCCAGTCCCATAAGATATTTAAAGAGTATTAATTCAAAGGTAAAGATAATTTTGTCTTCTTTAAAAAGAGAAAATTATAGTTCTTTCTTTGAATTTGAGAGAAATAATTTGATTATTCAAAAATTGACAATATGGGGGCCAGCAGTTAGTGTAATGGCTATGTCACTGGACTCCCACATAGTTGATCATGGTTTGAGTCCTGGATCTGGTGGCTTAAACTCATGCCAGGTGCATGTGCGTGCGTGCCCAAGATCCCGAGAGGAGAATGGAGGAGAAGGGATTGTGGCGTGGCCATACCCCTGGGGATAATTTCTCACTTTCTGTCTCTCTGTGTCTCTCTGTTTGTCTGGCGAGCGCACGCACCCTATAGCAAAAAACCTCTCAAAAAAAAAAAAGAGGCAATTTTATTGTATTACAAAAGTTTTTAATAACAGCATTATACTATAGCAATTAACTATGGACAATGAAACTTAAAATGGCCATGGTTCAAGATCTGATTTTACCATAACCCCAAATTGACAAATTTGATCATTTCTATGGCAAACTACATTCAACTATTTAGCAGTACAAGTATGACTAATAACATACTGTTACATAACATATATTTAAGAATCTCATGCAGTTTTGGAACACCTATTAACACAAATTTCTATACACTGAGAGCTAAGCATCATTCCATATTTGACAATGTTTTCTGTATAATTTCCCCAATGATTAGTGTGTTGTAATCTCTCTCTCCTTTTAGATTTAGCTGTCTTTCCTTCACATATTTGGGTGTTTTTGTGTTGGGTGCATAGATATTTATAAGCATTATATCTTTTTTATGAATTAACCCTCTTACTACTATAATGTCCTTCTTTGTCTCTTCTTAAAGTTTTTGTCTTAAAGCCTATTTTGTCTGAAATCAGTATTGCTACTCCCACCTTTGTTTGGTTTCTTTTCATTTGCGTGGAAAACCTTTTTCCAGCCCTTCACTTTTAGTCTATGTATGTCTTTATCCATGAAATATGCTTCCTATAGGCACAAATAAAGGGGTTTTGTTTTTTAATTCATTCAACCAGGCTGTATCTTTTGATTGGAGAATTTAATACACTAACATTCAATGTTACTATCGGTACTTCTGAACTTATCCCTACCATTATGTTAGCCATTTTCTTGGCTGATTTTTATTCTCTTATTTCTATCTATCTCTCTTTAGTTTTCCTGATATAGTTCGCCCTTCAGAACTTCTTGAAGAGCTTGTCTGGTGTTGGTAAATTCTTTTAGGTTTTGTTTATCTGAGAGTATTTTTATATTTTCCTTCTCATTTGAAGGATAATCGTGCCTAGTATGACAGTCTTGTTAAAAATTGTTTTTCTTTTAACACTTTGAATATATCTTGCCATTTTTCCTTTATTTGCATTGTTTCTACTGAGAGGTTCAGTGTTAGCCTGATGGGATAGCCTTGTAAGTAACTTCATGTCCTTTGTAAGTAATTTGATATTTCTCACCACGCCACCTGCTGGTCTCCTCCTGGTCTTTTTTTGATGAAGAGTTTCAGAATTTTGTCTCGTATCTGCTTGGTTTTTACCACATACACAATGGGGTTCATCACAGGAGGAATGAGGAAATGCATGTTGGCCATGGCCACATAAACATGTGAGGGAAGTCTGGGGCCAAAGCGATGCAGCATAGACAGGCAGATCATGGGTGTGAAGAAGAGGATCACAGCAGAGACATGGGAGATGCAGGTGTTGAGAGCCTTGAGGCGGCTGCCATGGGATGCCATGCTCAGGACAGTTTTTAGTATCAGCACGTAAGATAGAAGAATGAAGAGAAAATCAAGTCCCATAGTGGAGAGCACCACAAATAGTCCAAAGATGCTATTGACCTTAGTGTTGGAGCAGGAGAGTTTTATGATGTCAGGATGCAGGCAGTAGGAATGAGAAAGTAAATTGGAGTGACAGAAGCACAGTCTCCTCAAGAGGATAGGGAGGGGCACCTGTACAGTCAAAGTTCGAACAACAATAGCATAAGCTATCCTGGCAATTACACTGTTGGTGAGGATGGAAGAATAGTGCAATGGACGAGAAATGGCCACATAGCGGTCAAAGGCCATTGCCAGGATGATGGCTGACTCAGTATCCTGGAAAGTGTGAATAAAGAACATTTGGGTGAAGCAAGCAGACAAGGTCAGCTCTCGACCATCCAGCCAGAAGATCCTCAGCATTGTGGGGAAGGTGAAGAGGGACAGACCCAGATCAGAAGCAGCTAGCATGGCCAGGAACAGGTACATAGGCACGTGGAGGGTCTGCTCCTTCCAGATGACTGTCATGATGGTCACGTTGCCCACCAAGGTAATGAGGAACATGGCACAGAAGGGTATGGAGATCCAAATGTGTACATCCTCCAGTCCTGGGATGCCTGTCAGCAAGAAGGTGGAGAAAATTGAGCTGGTAATGTTGACAGGAAACATGATGCCAGAGCTGTATGCCTTCCCTAGAAAGAAATGCATTGTCTGAGGCACAGATATTAAAATGTAACTTCATTAATTTTTATTCTTTATGTACTATAGGATACATCATAGCTTATCTCATGAAAATTTTGCTTTTAAACTGATCCTGATTCTCATTGTAATACAAGATTAAATACTTTCTCCTAATGAACAATCTGAACCTAAACTAGAAAATAATACCTTCTCTATTGATCAAATACTTAAAATGTGTAACCTAATTGAAAATAAAAAAAAATCTTGATTTTTCATTTATCTAAGTTATATCATTGGTGTAATTATATATTAACTTCAGTATTTCAAAATCATTTTATGCGACCATCTCAGTAAAATAATGTAGATTAGCAGTTTATACTGTAATTACAGTAGCACACTATTTTACGGAATTTTTTTCTGTCTTGGTCAAAAATAGTACATGTTAGAACAGTTGTTCACAGTATATTTTTACTTTTCTAATGTGAATAAATGAGTGCATAACTTGAAAATAGTCATTTAGAAAAATGCTCTATTTATTTAGCAGGGTCATTTTCTTTCTTTTCTTAGTTTTGTATTTTGAGTGTATTTTTATTATTTTGTACAAATATATTTTTAGTTATATTTTGCAAAATATTTTAAAAAATAGGTTTTGATAAACGGGGACTTTTCTTTGTAATGTGGAACTTCGTCACACAGTATGAGAACTACAGTATTAGGCCAGTTAGTGGCAGGGTGTCAAAGGTGGCTGGATCTCACATAGCTGGTTATGCAGTTTAAGGACAGACGTGGTGGCTTGAAAATCACACCTGGCTCATGTATCTGCATGCCCCAAATCCTCAAAGGAGAAACAGAGAAGGAGAAATGGAAGAGAAGGGATTATGTTGTGCCCATCCCACTTGAGAGTTGCTTTTTCATTTTCTCTCTCTCTTCCTGTCTCTCTCTTTCTCCAGTAATCACATGTACTTTCTAGTAAATTTAAAACGAAAGAAAGTACTGTGTTATCACTGAAAATACATGCATGCATTCTATAATCCTGGTCAGAGGGAGGATGGAGAAAACAAGATTGTGGCCTGAATATGCCCCACTGGGGGCTGCTTTCTCTCTCTCACTTTCTGTCTCCCTCTGATGAGTGCATTTACACTCTGGCAAATAAAAATATAATAATTATGAGGAGCACTGTGTTATTAACATCTCACTGCTGAATATAAACTTGTTTTTCTTAAAATATTTCATGTTGGAATACAAAACCCAAAAATATGTCTATATAATTCACCACGTTAATACTATAATTAAAGATTTTTCAATGCTCAATCAAATACTGCATAGTAGGCTCCATGTAATTTTATAAGAATAATTTTTAAAATTTTTATTAAAGATATGACTGTACATTTATCTGACTATAACATATATGCTATATACGTCCATATTGATATATGGGGTAGTGAGTGGATCATTTCTAATCAACAAATGATTAAAAAAAAAATACTATGCCTGGGGCCAACAGATGGCATAATGGTTGGGGCATTGGACTCCCACATGGCCTGACTACAGTTCAGGTCCTGGACCTGGTGGTTTGAAACTCACACCAAGTATGTGGACATGTATTCCCAAGATACCAAGAGGAAAATGGAGAAGAAGGGATTGTAGCATGGCCATCCTCCCTGGGGAGTGCTTTCTCTTTTTTTGTCTATCTATCTCTGTCTCTTCAACCACGATAGGTTCCCAATAGCAAAAATCTAAAAAAGAAAAAAGAAAGAAAGAAAGAAAAGAAATACTATGCCCATGAGTATGTAATTCAGTATTGGCCATTTACTTGTACTATGTTCAAACAAGTATATTGTATAACTACTTTTGTCTATGTGACTGATTCTGAAATAAATTTTAAGATTATAGCAAAGATCAATGCTACTTTAATCAAAAATGATAGATATCTGTGAGCAAGTGCTAGAGCAGCTAAATTCACATAGGAAAGATTCTGGATTTGTATCTTGGGATAACCCTGAGCATGCTGGGCACACCTTTATGTCTCACTGACCTGGACCAGCTGAGATGGAAACAGATCAAGATATGAGCACCTTGTTGGTGTGCTTTCTCCTTTCTCTTTATTTCTCTCTGTTTCTTTTTCTCTCTCATGGACAAAATAAATAGCATTTTTTAAAAAATTACAGACAGTTTTCAAATATGTAACTATAATGTATTATGTCAGAGATGAAATCATCTTTATTTTACCATAATTTTTTAATCCTAGGCAAAATGTGCTTTAGAAACACTTGAGTCTTCCTTTGACAGATATTCTCTAAGTTCACCTATTTCCTTGGGACCAGCAGTCGGCGTAATGCTATGTTGCTAGACTCCCATGTAGACTTGACCATCGCTCGAGTCTCAGACCTAGTGGTTTAAACTCATGCTGGGCGCATGTGTGTGCATACCCAGGATCCCAAGAGTAGAATGGAGAAGGGATTGTGGTGTAGCCATCTCCCCACGGGGTGATTTCTCACCTTCTGTCTCTCTGTCTCTATCTGTCTTTCCGGCAAGCAAAAACTCCCTATAGCAAAAACTCCCCCCGCCAAAAAAAAAATGCCATTTGCATTCACCTATTCTCACTTTCTGTGTTTATGAAACTAAACACATATTATGTACATACTCTTCACATTTACCTCCACTAATTCCAATAAGTAGTAAATTTTAATATGTTCACATATCATTATTAGCCAGATTTTACACCTATCCTCAGTCACTAATGACATTTTAGTTATATTTCATGAGACTTTTTGGAGATATTCACTTCAAAATCCTAATTCTCTGTATGGGACCATAGAGAATCAACTGTAGAGGGACTAGCAGTTAGCATAATGGCTATGTCGCTGGATTCCCAAGTAGTCGACCGTGGTTCGCATCCTGGACCCAGTGGCTTAAAACTCACGCCAGGCGCGTGTGCGTGCGTGCCCAATATTCCGAGAGGAGAATAGAGGAGAAGCGATTGTAGCGTGACCATCCCCCCTGGGGAGTGATTTCTCGCTTTCTGTCTGTCTCTGTCTGTCTGGCGCAAGGGCATGTGCCCTATGGCAAAAACCCCCCCAAAAAAAAAAAAAAAAGAAAGAAAAGAAAAGAGAATCAACTGTAGAGATTTAAATATTTTCCAAATAACTGTTGGGTTTTTTGAAAACTCAAGACTCATTTTTGCATTGAAAAACATAGAAAAAGATGTAATGAGTTTTTGACAGCTCAATAAGTTAAGATGCCCTTGATTCTAATTCTTGATAAAAAATGCTAAAAAAATAATAAAAATGGAAAACTCATTCAAAATCTCACCCTACTTGTCCAGGTATTAACTATATGGAACATAAGATCCAGTCCATTTCTTTCAGCTTTCGCTTGGAATACATTTCTATTTGTCAAAACTCTCAATTTGGGTCAATTTCAATGAGACATAGAAACTTGTTCTTTGAAGAAAAAAGAACAAGCGAAAGGAAATTAAAATTAGTCTCAGAAGTTTTATGGACATTTTTTTTTCCTAACCTGGAATTTTGCTGGATCAGAAAAGATAGAAAAGTTCTGTAAAACTCACTCTCTACTTGATAAGAGAACAATCTGCCTAGACTAATTGTTGTGTCACCTGGAGTTAACTCTCTACCACCAGATATTTTTTCTCAGTGCCTCTTACTCATTTATGAGTTCTTGGCATTTTCTGAATCCATACTTTCTTTTCTCATGTTCAGGGATGAGGCCGAACCTCAAGGTCGTTGTTACCATAGATCAGGAATACTTGAAACCCACTTCTTTGTATATGGTTCAGTTCCATTGTCCAAACATCTCAAGCATTTTAGAAAAACAAATTAGTGATAGTTTCACAAAAAGAAATATTTATCAGATGAGATTCTTTGCATTACCAGCTAGAGTTTCTCCACTCACTAATTTATTTAATGTCTCTTTGATCTTAATTGTATTTTCAAACTCAAATCAAGTCAATCTTATTTGATTTTCTTACCTGGCAACTTGAGATGGCAGAGAGGCTAAAGTCTCACATAGACAGCTTTCTCTTTTATATTTAAAACCCAGAATGTCTGTGACCTAATTTGAGCTACTTTATTATTAGTACACCTCTCACCTGAGACTAGAAGTCTACTGGGACCTCCTTTCTTCTTGATGTAAGAATTATCATTTTAATTAATTTACTCCCAGGCTGTCCTAAGAGTGGCTCAATTTTTGGGTACTTTATTTTCCTCCTATAAAACAAGTTTAAAATCACAACTAACATAGCGTATTTTTTAAATAATTATTTATTTAGAGAGGTTTTTGTTTGTTTGTTTGATTTTTTTTTCTTTTTTGCTATAGGGCATGTGCGCTCGCCAGACAGACAGACAGAGACAGAGAGACAGAAAGTGAGAAATCACCCTCTGGGGGGATGGCCACGCCACAATCCCTTCTCCTCCGTTCTCCTCTCGGGATCTTGGGCATGCACGTACATGTGCCTGGCGTGAGTTTTAAGCCACCAGGTCTGGGACGCAAACCCCAGTTGACTACATGGGAGTCCAGCGACATAGCCATTACGCTAACTGCTGGTCCCAATAATTATTTATTTAATTTTATCTATTATTATTATTACTTTTAATTTGCTATAGGGCAACATGTGCTCACCAGAGAGAGAGAGAGAAAGAAATAGAGAAAGAGAGAGAAATCACACTGCCAGGTCTGGAACTCAAACTGAAGTTGGCCATATGGGAGTCCGGCACCTCAGCCACTATGCCAACTGCTGACCCCATAACAGAGTTTTAACATGCTTAAATTTTTGTATTGATATCAGCTTAGTTCTATTCAAAGTAAATTTTAAAAATAATTATACTTATTTTAGAATTATTTATATTTTATGTGTTATATCTGATGAACTGAGAAGTTTATTTCATGTCTCCTCACTGAAGTCAAATATCACTTTAATATGATATGTTTCAAACACGAAATACTATCTAACATACCTAGAAATAACATTA